TGCACTCCTAGTGGGCATTACTGGTAGGAAACGTAGTGGACTGGAAGCCCAACCGGGATTATCACAGGATGCAGGGGATTAATTGTGTATCTCTGTGAATGTCTGTCCACGTGTATCCGGACATCCGGATATATAACAAATGCGCTCCTAGTGGGCATTACTGGTAGGAAACGTAGTGGACTGGAAGCCCAACCAGGATTAATTCACAGGAGGCAGGGGATTAATTGTGTATGTCTGTGGATGTCTGTCCACGTGTATCCGGACACCCGGATAAAATGGGAGGGGTGGGGCTGGGTGGGGGGTGGGAGGGGTGGGGGGTGGGAGGGGTGGGGCTGGGTGGGGAAGGGCTGGTCACCCCGTGGTGCCCTTATAAAACTCAACGTTTAACCTACTCACGGCAGCTTGTGCCCGCCCTCACAGTCAGGCATATTTGCGGAATTCACCACGCCGCCGTTGACCCTGGCCACTGACCGGGCAACCAACGTTCCTACCAGCCCCCTCTGCAGGAATGTGTTAATTTGACATGTTTACCAACTACCACTTACCAACATTTGCAAAATACAAATTCATCAATAAACGAAATCGAGCCATCACGCCCTCTTGTCGTGTTTTATTTTCCTGTAACCGCACGGCTCGTCGTGGACGATCACTTGCATATTAGCTTTCACTCTCATTTTGGGCTACTGTCGAACTTGAAAAAGAATGCGGTTGCATTTTGGGCTACTGTCGAACTTGAAAAAGAATGCGGTTGCATATTTTGCATCAGTGTCTGTGTAAATACCGTGGAAGGGAAGCGCAGTTGGGTTCCGGTTTCCTTTGTCCCTCACATTAGTAATTGCGGGTGCATATCATTAAGTTTTTTTTCTAAACTAATGTAAAATAATTTCATAAAGGTGTCCACTTTGGGGGGGCACTATCCCCCCGTGCCCCCCCCACAACTCCACCCATGGTTGTTACTGAGCCATGTGAAAGGACCCTCCATTGATGCCCCGACGTAGATCTACAGGAGCAGTAGACAGTGGGGCGGTGGGTTATTGCTGCCACTCTGGCCCTGCTGTTCCAGCTGAAGGCCGTGTCCCTGAAGGCACCGGCCTCCCGTAAACCTCCAACGAGTTATAAAGTTCGGCTCCTGGAATGTCCCAACTCTGGTGGAAGTGATACTTTTCCCCAATCAAGGGAACTGTGCAAAATCTTGACTTAAAGCTTTTGTGACTGCAGGAATTCATATTATTAGGTATTTCGGTAAAGTCAAGTAGATAGGTTCAAAGAAAATAATTAAAAATAACAAAACTATGACGTTTCGATCGCAACACAAGCGGTCGTCTTCAGGAAAAGGGGGGTTAGCTTCCAAGGGAAACTGTTTATAAGGGTTTGAAATGGGCATAGCCCAAATGTCAGCAGCCAAACTTAGAGTTATGTCTTGGACCGTGTTCGTGAACATAAGGCAGATCTGAAACATGGTAGGACCAATACCTCGGCCGTGGCTGATCATTGTTTTAATGTGGTGGGCCCACGCGAAATTGATTTCTCTAAGACGAAGGTACTTTGCAAGCCCACTGGCTATCAACAAAGATTCGTTCATGAAGCCATCCATATATATAGACACAGAAACAATTTCAACCGAGAAGATGGGTACAAACTGCAAACTGAGCAAGCATTGGAAGGACGTTATCAACCAGTTTAAGTCATAATGGGCTATGATATTCCTATCCTACCACTTTCCGATGTTAGCTGTGCTTTACGCCCATTTCACACTTGCGCTTTCACAGTCACTTCGCGCGCCGACCCCTTGGTTGCGGTTCTGCGATCTTCCATTAACATGCTAATCTCTCTTTAACATGCTAATTTTCACCTGGCAGCCCTTTGATGGGTGGAAAACGAACCACCGCCGGGCTCGTTGCCGAACACTTACATTATCATTTGCTGCTGACATTTGGGCTATGCCCATTTCAAACCCTTATAAACAGTTTCCCTTGGAAACTAACGCCCCATTTTCCTGAAGACGACCGCTTGCATTGCGATCAAAACGTCGTAGGTTTCTGTTATTTTTGATTATTTTCTTTGAACCTATCTACGTGACTTTACCGAAAGACCCAAGAATATGAACTGTGCACACTAAAGGTCAAAGTGGCCGCCCGGTCCGAAGTTCGTCACCTTGGGGGTGGTTACACCTTCTGCTGGTGTGACTGACCAGGAGGTTGCCATTATGGTCAAGGATGCACGAGTTCCCTTTGTGGCGGGGTCACTGCGGTCAGTGAGCGAATGATGATGAGGTTGAGGAACTCTTGGGTGCCTTTTTCTTGTTGCTGTCTACTGAGGTGAGTGATCTTGAGGACAAAGACACCTATGCTATGCTCCACTCGTTGGTGGACATGTATCCACCAACGAGTGGACATGTGTCCACCAACGAGTGGTCCAGATGCGTCAGGAACCAAGAAGAGTAATGCAGCCTTGCTTTTGTACTTTCCAATATCCAGGCAGCTGAGAATTGCTGGTTCATGGTTCCAACAGCCTGACCTGCATTTGCTGGACTTGGATCTTCAATGCTGGCAATGCAGATGAGATCGATCATGTTCTCATGGGCACCCGATGGATGCTCCTGAGTGTGGTGTTCCAAAATACTGATCAGAGGCTGCTGATAGTAGACATCAGGATCTGCCTAAAGTCCAGCGTGGAAGCGCTGGACCTCGGGAACTCGGGGATAACGGGATCGAGGAGGCATTTGCTGTCAAGGTCTCGATTTGGTTTGAGACTCTCGCTACTCTTGATGATCCAGACCAGATGTGAGAAGCCTTCAAGCAGGGTACCCAGGAGAATGCTAGTGGATGCAGTGAAGTCAGGCCGAGCTCAAGGAGGCGGCTGGTGTGTCAGGTGAGAGCCTCGTTGAGGGATAGGGGGCGTTTGGTTGGGGACCTGATGGGTATGGTTGAGTCATGTGTGTATGGGTGGCTCCCAGTCGGCCTGTCGGGCCCTCAAACGCCTCTGTTCCAAACCCAAACCTCGAGGGGCCGATGGCTCTCTTGTACCAGACCCTGGAGAGCATAAGGCTGTATGGGCTAGGTACTTTGAGTGGCTCATCGCTATCTCCCCTCCAGTTGTGAAGCTGGACGTTTAAGGAGGATTTCTGTCAATGTCGACATCTGTTAGCCATGGCGAGAGTGGTTCGTGTAGTTTTGCTATTCCGCCTCCTTTGAAGGACCGCAGACTACAGTGGTTTAGTCTGTGGCCCAGAGGGTTTCAGAGCAACAATCACACGGTGGCCTTTCATGCATCGCTCTGTATCTCTGTCTCTATAGGTTTACTATGTGGTTCATAGTTTGGGTTACATGGCCACAATCGGCACCACTGGCGGCTTCGACGTATCTCTATGTATCTCGATAGGTCTCTGCACCTCTATGTATATCTATAGGTTTACCATATGGTCCATAAGTTTGCGTTGCATGGCCAAAATCGCACCACTGTGACTTGGGTCTTTAAATTCCGATTTATGGAGATGCGCGCATCGGCCTGTTGGATGTGCCACTATGGCGAGATGTTAGCTACCTCGCCTGTTATACAGGTGGTAGTGGGTTCCAACACTGACTCTGATGCCTGCTGCTGTATATTTGAAGTTTGGGTGTGTCTCTCCCCATGGTCGCGTGGATTTTTCTCCGGGTCCTCCGGTTTTCTCCCTCCACATTTTTAATCAACGTGCATTTAGAGTATAGGATTTGGCAGCTATACATTTCCACATGAGCCACTTGTTGATCTATCATTTGTGGCCAGGTCGCTTCTGAAAAAGTGCTATATAGCTCAGTGGATCGTAAGCTGGTAAAATAATAAGTGATATTTAAAAAAACCTTTTAAACACGCTTTTATGAAATGTACGAGTAATGGCAGAACTCCACTCCAGGAAGTGGCCCCGAAGCTTTCCATAACGTGGCCAATTACAGCCAACGTCAGTTTACCGTGGACAATTAGACCAAAGCCGAAACATCTTAATATAAAGGCAAAGTTGTGATTGTGTGTTCAAAATGTACTTCTTGACATGCAACAAACTTGAAATTTGCCATGTGGGTACTTTCCAGACTGTACACCATGCAAAAAATATTTTAAAAAATACACTCGTAACATATAAAAAATGTTGATTTAAAGCTTTCGTGACTGCAGTAATTCATATTCTTAGCTCTTTCGATAAAGTCACGTTGAAGGGAAACAATAAAATATATATAACAAAAATTCTCACGTTTCGACCATAACACAAACGGACACCTGATGACGACCGTTTGTGTTATGGTCGAAACGTGATAATTTTTATTGTTTTATATATATTTTATTATTTTGTTTCCCTTCAACGTGACTTTACCGAAAGAGCTAAGATTATATAAAAAATGTTTAAAAATACTTTTTTTATGATAGAATATAGTATTGTCATCAGTATGACATAAGTTTACCAAGTTTGCAGTCGATACCACATTGGGAATTGGGTTAAAATTGAGTTACACGATTTGAGGATACGACACAATAACGACAACAGACAAAATCAAAATTTAACAGACAGTGAGTTAAATCAAAAGCGTGCAATTAAAATAGTCAATCGGATGTTCTGACGCGGTTGACGGTTCTATCCGTGTTTTCGAATAGGGTCGTTAAATCTGGGAGGTGCGTGCCACCTTCTCTTACTGAAATAAGTAAAAGCAAACGCACACCAATTTACAAGAAACGCGAATCACTCGTGTTGTTGTTCGGCAGTCACTTCCAGTAAAGACCGAATAGAGAATTCACTGCGCGCATCAAACACGCGTGCGTGGGGGGGGGGGTGCTGGAGGGGGGAGGGTGTGGAGGGGTGTGGAGGGGGGGTTGTTGGGTTGTTGAGGCTGGGGGTGTGGAGGGGGGTTGTTGAGGGTGGGTGGGGGACAGGTTAAGCTTTGTCGGGCGCCATCTTTGTAGGGGACAACACGGCCGATGTTTCATGCGTGACGTCACCGCGCTGCGCCGCGATTTGCAATGCGCGGGGAGCGGCGTTAGTGGGCGGGGCTGCCCCCTCCCTCCCCTACGCAAGATGTCCGCCCGTTGACGGTCGCGTCACATCGGGGCCGCGCACCGCTGTCCACAAGCCCTGGGAGTTGGGGAAGTGAAAGCGGCCTGCATCTGCCCGGGGGCTACGGCGCGGACAGAGCAAGCAGAGGTGAGGAGGAGGAGGCGGCGGCGGCGGCGTGATATCGAGCGGGATAACAACAAGCGAGGTTATTCAACGCCGAGCCTTTGTTGTGTTCGCGCTAACCCTCGGTTGCTGCTCCAAGGCCGAGAGTGTGGAGTCGGGGGGGGCTCGGGAAGGGAGAGACGAGACAGGCGTCTGCGTTCGGCGATGAGCGGCGGAGATCGTCGAGACGACGCCAAGGATCAGCCGCCCCACAAGTGCCGCACGAAGGACTCCTGGTGGAAGGGAATGGACAAATTCCCGGGACACGGTGAGACGCACGTGGTATAGGGACGGAGACGCGTGGGAGAGGGACACAGATGTGTGGAGAGGGACACAGAGACATGAGGAGAGGGACACAGAGACATGAGGAGAGTGACACAGAGACACAGGGACACAGAGACATGAGGGACACAGAGACATGAGGAGAGTGACACAGAGACATGAGGGACACAGAGACACGAGGGACACAGAGACATGAGGAGAGGGACACAGAGACACAGAGACACGAGGGACACAGAGACACAGAGACATGAGGGACACGAGGGACACAGAGACACGAGGGACACAGACATGAGGAGAGTGACACAGGGACACAGAGACATGAGGGACACAGAGACATGAGGGACACAGAGACATGAGGAGAGTGACACAGGGACACAGGGACACAGAGACACGAGGGACACAGAGACACGAGAGGGACACAGAGACATGAGGAGAGGGACACAGAGACACAGGGACACAGAGACACAGGGACACAGAGACACAGGGACACAGAGACATGAGGGACACAGAGACATGAGGGACACAGAGACATGAGGGACACAGAGACACGAGGGACACAGAGACACGAGGGACACAGAGACACGAGGGACACAGAGACACGAGGGACACAGAGACACGAGGGACACAGAGACACGAGGGACACAGAGACACGAGGGACACAGAGACACGAGAGACACAGAGATATGAGAGGGACACAGAGATATGAGAGGGACACAGACACAGAGACACGAGGGACACAGAGACATGAGGGACACAGAGACACGAGGGACACAGAGACACGAGGGACACAGAGACACGAGGGACACAGAGATATGGGGACGACGAAACAGACGGGGGAGATGCCCAGAGATACGGGTAGAAGGACAGAGAGCTATGGGGAGGACACAGATACACGGGTGACGGACACAATATACACTGCGAGAGGGACATCGAGACACGGGGAGAGGGACACAGAGACGGAGGGAGAGACACGGGGAGAGGGATTCACGGGAAGGGACACATCTGGAGAGAGGGGCACAGATATGGGGAAGACACTGTGAGAGAGACAAACACGGGGAGAGGGACGCAGAGACACTGGGAGGGAGACAGACGAAGAGAGGCATGGGGAGAGGGGCACATGGGGATAGAGACGCAGATACACGGGGAAATCGACGCAGAGACCGTGAGAGATAGGAGAGCACATGGACACGGGAGACACGGGGAGAGACTTGAAGAGAGGGGGACGTGGGAAGAGAGCGGTAGAGGCACAGATAAGGTTAACAAGACACGCAGAAAGACAGCTTGGAGTTCTGGACGGTGAGATGGCGACATAGCGACACATGGCGACACCGATACAGCGACAGACCAGGGAGACAGACTTACACAGAGGAGACAGAGACACAAACATATACAGGATTTATGCTAAAACAAAGACAGAAACAAAGAGACACGCTGGGGCAGCTATAGCGAGGGGGGTGAGGACAAGGACAGGTTCCCATAGAGAATACTAATACAGGTACGCAGAGGGAAAACGGGAGACAGAGAGATATACTTTGTTCCTTTTACTGTTGTAGTAAGACGAGCGAGGAGGAGCAGCAGCGGCGGAGTGTTCACCTCCAGAAGTGAGACAACAAGAGCCCTGGCAGCAGTGGCTTTGCTTGTGGCAGTAGAGAGCAAAAGGAGAGTTTGGGATATTGTTACCTAATTGCTATAATAACACTCCTACAACATCAGAGTGCAGCGCCACGTTAAATACGCACTACAATGACAATAGTTTAAAGCGATTTGAAGCATGTTTTATTTTCAAAATGGAAATATGGTTTTGGGGGGGGGGGCAGAGCTTTGTGACGTCATATTTGAGGGGGGGGGGTCTGATTTTTTGTGACGAGGGGGTGGGTTCAAAAATCGTCCAAAATCGCGTGACGTCATTTATGGACGGCCCCTAAAGTCGTTTTGGTTCCTCTTTGCGGGTGGCAGTCATACAGGTTTGCCTTGGCGTCAGTGGATGTAGTGCCAGGATAAGCTTTAGTTGCCCCGGGGGAAGTTACAGATATTTATTCAAGCTACGTGACATCAGCTTGTTGGATTGTGTGATTGTGGCTTTAGGGCAATGGTATTCTTACGAGGACCAGTTTGCAAATGTTATTCGTTCGTGAGAAGGTTTGTTTATATGTCTTAGGGCTTATTTATGCAGTTCAGACAGCAGCTTCATAAGCTGTTTTAGTTTCAAGAAGTGAAGCACTCGACGCAACATTAGCAGTAGCGAATTCACTAGTTCCGGATAATTCTAGTGACCGCAGTTGCTGCTTGTGTAAGACTGGCGTGTGAACGCCTGTTTTGACTGACAGAACATGGGTTCGAGGTAAGGGCTTGATTTTTCACTCGATATTTTCCAGAACGCTGCTAGTCTGGCTTTGACGTATGGATAATCGGCGTAAGACACTACCACTCCAAGGTATGCCTAGCAATGATAATAAACCTTGATTGTACCCTGTTATTCCATAAGCGTACGAACAGGTTTGTACCAATTAGATGCAAAATAAGTTGAAATGGAAGCGGTGCCACATGAAGATGAAGCACTATTCACAGGTCGGGGGTGTGGTTTCTTTGAGCTAGAAGTGTCTTGAACTTATTGGCGACAGTTTATAGGGACCGGCTTATTAACAGTATGCATTGCAATACTGACATCGGCATACATAGCTCGTATTAGTGAGAATAGGCTTGTGGCCAAGTGTGGAGTAGTATTGGATTCTATTTCCGCAGGCAGCCACATGAATCCGCCCTGCTTTTATCTCAGCGGTTGCACATGTTGCCAAAGATTCTAGGTGAAATAAATGTATTGCTAGGTTGTGTTGTTTTTGTACCGTCAGAAGTTTGCATAGATTGATTACACAAAAATGTACAGCCCCCCCCCCCCTCCCACGTGCAGCCACCAGCCTGTATGCACGTTAGCTACGACTCACAGCCGAGACACGCGCGTTCCTTTGGGCATCTCAGATGCCACTTCACATTCGCAAACATCTTTCTATGACGTCATTCAGTTTGGTGGTTTCCAGATCACCAGCGTTTGCAATCCTTTGAGTATGTACTGGGACAAACAAGGACTGCCTCATCCAGCCAATTTTAGGGGTAAATCAATATCAATATTTTTTTTACGTGTCAATATCGTCCTCAATATATAAGTAGGCATCAGTGCGCATTACAACGGAATGGGAGCGGTTACAGGAGGCACGGTGCAACAGGAATGAGAAAAGGAACCCTTTGCACGCCCTCGGTGGCTAACACTGGCCGAGCAACATAAATATCAATCGCGCGCAAACTAAAGTGCAACGGTGATTTCAATTTCTATCACCCTGAAGCAACGGGCAGTGTTTCACTCAGCCAGGTGGTAAAGAGATTACTTGCGTGACCTTTGCTGGGCAAGTTTGCCGGGCAGACGCCCCTTGTCGGCAATGTGCTTGATGCTGGATAACTTTTCACACAGTCAACTTAGACCATCGCTCATCCATATTGGCCTTTGACTTGTAATCATCATAAGCTTGAATAAAGCCAACATGGAATATTAGAATTACTGACTGGGAGAAGGACAACAGTGTCTTGGAATGTAGCATTGTCACCATTCTGTCAAGCAGCATGCCAATTCTAGATTTAAAGCTTTCGTGACTGCTAGGATCCATACTCTTTGGTTCTATTGGGTAAAGTCTACGTGACTTTACCCAATAGAACCAAAGAGTAAGCATGCCAATTGATGGAGTATACTGCCAATTTCGAGGTGCAATTTATAAAGCAGCATGCACAGCCATCCTTGTGGATAATCATCCGGTTTACACTACGTGTCCTAAACGTTCTATATGACACTTGACTAAAATAATACGAGTAATCTGGTGAACCAGCCATCACCGATCATCTGATAGTCACTTGATACCAGCAGTTATGCCCATGGCGAAGAGACAACTGTGAAGCTTGTTGCCACTCATTCAAGTTGAAGTGATGGAACCTGATCTGGCATCTTGGGACAATGCAGCAACTACCAGCTTCAAGGTGTTTGCTGGTGACGCCAAACAAATCTGCCAGTGACTTGCTATGTATATCAAGGGTCCCAATGAAAATGTATGTCCGACAGTAGGTTTGCAATGAATGGCGACAATACCACTGGCAAAGCTCCACGTTACATCTATGTGGAACTTTTCACACTTGCAGAACTAGACAAGATACTGTGGAATGTAAAATCTGTAACAGCCTTGGGCTATGACATAATCTCTCTGGAATTTCTAAAACACCTTAGACCTCGTGCTTGCCAGTAGTTGGTAAATTTTGCCATATGGGTTACCAACGATAGGAAGCTATTAAGGATCTGGTGGCTATAAAAGATCCTCTAACCTCCAAAATTGGAAAAGAGCTACAAAATGTAATAAGATACCACCCGGTTTCTTTGCTGTCAGTGTGCTTCAAGGTTCTGGAGCATCTCATACACCAGTGCATTCTCCATTCATCGAGAATGGCATCTAGAAACAAAAACAAAGACAGGAGACATTTCTAGACCTGACAGCCCCCTACGACGCAGTCTGTCACATTGGCCTTGTAGTGAAAATATCCAGTCTTGCCAAGGTCGGCAGTTGACAAAATTGAACTTGTGCTTAGAGACAGTTGGCTCAGTAAACACATGGAGAACCAGAGTAAGCACGTGGAAACAGCAAGTACAACTGGGCTCCGTGCTCACACCAGCTCAAGTTCAACCTGTACACTAACGACCTCGTGTAGTAAACCATTTTAGTTGCGCTCCTTCAACAAGGAATAGCAAACCTGCACAAATTCTTTCCTGAAGCCCTCTCTTGGCTAATAGAGCTTGATATTGACATTTAGCTCCTGAACATATTGCCATATGTCAGAATAGAATAGAACCAATGACTTTCCACCCAGCCAGTCACAAAAGTTAATTCATGACGATGAAATCTGGTATGGCACACAGCAGCCCACATTCTCAGAACTTTAGAATACCTGAATGCCGACGTAGCCAAACTGACCGAATACTTCAGCAGACGGCTCCTGCTACCGAGTGATGAAAACGGTGTCAAGCGTGTTTCATATAAATGGGTAGCGCCTGCAACACGAGACTCTCCCAGTCTACCAAGGCGCGACATTGGACAGGTCTCTTTATATTCCACAACCAACTAAAGAAACATGGTGGCCAAAGTCAAGGATAAAGAACAACTTTCTTAGCAAACTGGCCAGCTGAACCTGGGGTGCAGGAGCAAAGACGCTCCGCACAACTGCTATTGCCATATGCTTTTCAACGATTGAGTATTGTGCACACAGAGCTGCTGGTTGACATCCCAACTGCATTAAACCATGCGCACCATCATAGGGACGTAGCTATGACCCACCCCACTGCCTTGGCCGTCAGCACTGAGCAGTATCATTCTCCCGCACATCCGTCGTGGGGAGGCAACGGCGAAGATTATGGAATATATTCGTGCGAATACGACATGTTCGACCCTCCACGAGCCCACTTGGCATTGAGGTACCTTAAATGGACAAACATGCCACACTGGGACTTGTTGATGGTATCAAGGTGGTGCGAGGAACGGTCCACCCAAGACATCCAGAACTAGTTCCTCATCACCGACCACACCGTTCGCCTCTCTGGTTTGAGCTACCATGGTGGTCATAGGGCCTGCTCAACAGGTTCCATTCCAGCCAGGGTCTGCGTGCAGCCAGCCCCCAAACCTAGCACCAACGTGACAACAACCCTCTCTGGATGTGGCCAGCGAAACAACATTCAGCACGCTGTTGATGAGTGCTTCCTGATCGAACTCAACAGTGTTCTCAGGGCCTCCGCACTGCTGATGAAGTGGCTGGCATCTGGCTCAGCAAGATGAACATATAATAATAATTATGTATTTATAATAACTTTCTTACCTATTCCTTGTTGCACTCCTATTGCTTTTCTTTGTATTGTTGTTTAACTTTCTGACCCGCCCCTGCTGGGCATCTGTGAAAAAGAGCTTCATAGCTCATCGGATTCCTACAGGATAATTAAACCATTCTAATACTGATTCTGGTAACAAATATAAACAGGTTTGGAATTTGTATTTGGCACTTATTCACATGTTACAAAAAATAAGATTGTGTGATGACTTTAAAAATGAACTTGTATTCATGATATTGCATGTTTATGTCTGTCGTAATTCTTACCCTAGGACAAAGAGAACCCAATTCCTCAAGCGGAGAATCAATGAGAGCAACGATGTCGAGAAGGTGGGTTAGGAATATACGACTGAGCATTACGACTGTTTCACTACAGAACTCTTTCCCCCGAAACGCCTCTTATCCTTTACTCTATTTCACCATCCTATTATTCACACCTCTCAATCAATACATGCCAAATTGTATGAAGAGCATCTCCTGATTATCAGAGGTTAACCTTGGATAAGTGGAGTCATCTGGAAGTGGTGGAATATACTTCCTGTTATGCACATTAGGTCGCAGATGAGTCGACCTAAAGCGGTCTCCCTGAAGTAATAAATTAATCTTATTATCCATACTTATCAATGGATAAGTCACCTGGAGGTAATATTAAATTCTTACTTTGAATTCCCACCTCGTCGCCCTGATGTGCTACACCATTCTATTATCCATGAATGAGTTGCCAAAAGTGGTATTTTTCAACACAGTAATCTCCTTTATCCGTGGTGTAGTACAATAGGAGTGGCCCAGAAGTGATGGCAAATAATGCCCATTATCGTATACACTAGGGAGATGGAGAGATAAAATATATAATACATCACTTTGTGTACAAGTGCTAGGTGGATAACATGATGGTGCCTTGGGGAGACCTTCATCTAGCAGTGGCTTGACCTTGACTGATGATGTTGACAATAAGACATGGATAATAGACCTTGCCAATGGCATCCTCTATCACCACGGATAAGAGGAGTTTCACTCTGGTTTATTTAAGCAAGTTCATAATGGTCAATGCTTTAATACAGTGGACTAGTTAACAGGACCACAAGGTTGCTGTGAGTGGCTTAGCAGGTTTGTAATGGCCATGTCGGGACCACCGTGCCATCATAACTGATATTCTGCATTGCAGTTTGGACATCCACCTGTGGTTATACATGATTGTCAATAATGTTGAGATTGGAATTCTCAGTCTAATCACCAATGACTGCACAATAATAATGCTAATATTAACGTTTCTACTTGATTTAACCAAATCCAGATCTAAGGATGATTTCTATACATATCAGATGACTGACATGTGGCGAATCACTGTTTAAATAACCATAATCATATACAGGAAAAGCTCTGATATCCAGCATCCATGGGGAATAGAGGGTGCCGGTTAATCAAATATGCCGGTTATCTGAGAATTATACTTATGGTTCACCAAATTTTCCAAGTACATAATACTTTTCAAGAAAAAGACCAAGCCTACATTTTAACTGTGATACAATAAATAATATACTCTGTTACAGAGGTCCTCACCAGTCAGTTGTAGATAATTCTAAGTTGATTTTAGAGAAGCAGTACAAAGTGCCAATACAGCACAAGCACATCGCCATCATAACGGTGGATGGCGGATGTTAACAATTGAGTCTTACCGCTGCGACACCGCTCAGCAGCAACCTGAAGCTTCAATAAACAACAGATCTACGAGAAGTGCCCGCCAATATGCTGGGTGGCTATCGGAATTTTTCCGGATACGTGAAATAATATTTGTATTGCCGTCTATGACAAGACACCGTATATCATAAGTATCAGATTTGCATAATAGAAAATAAATTATTATGCATAACTCAATGATCATTATTATCCTTGTGGATACTATAAATAACACAATAGAGAAGTAGACAATGTCTCCTTTACATCCATCTCTCCACGTAAAAAAAAAATAATTTCTCACAATCTGCAGCCGCACGGGCTTCTGGGAATGCATAGTGTCAGCAGTTATTTACTCAAGTGAAGAAAACTTTGGACCGGTTTCGACAGTGTCATGCGTGCATTATTTTGGTAAAGAATCGATTTTCAATTACACAATGATGAATCATTTTGACCCTGATATAGATGCCACACGAGGTCGTACGACTTCATGCCAAAACGATGCAGTTTTCACAGCATGAATAATATGCTGGAGCCTTTTGCTGAGACCTATAAACTATTTTTATTTTACCAGGTAAGGCCCACTTAAGCAAAATAGCTCTTTTTCATTTGCGACCTGACCACAAATGATCACTCAACGAAGTGGCTTATGTGGAAATGTATAGCAGCCAAATACTCGAAACGAATGTTTCTAAATGTGGAGGGAAAAACTGAAGGACCTGGAGAAAAATCCATGCAATCATGGGGAGAACATGCATACTCCAAATATACAGGCGTCAGGGTCAGGATCCAACCCACGAACTCCTGTATACCAGGCCAGATAGTTAACGTCTCACCACCGTGGAACCCTAATCACCTGGGTGATGTTCTTCTACCTTGAGATCCTATGTTAGGGTTACTCAAAATGCAGTTTGTGCTGAGGGGCTACCAGAATGGCAGTTTCCACTGGAATGGATACCTGCATTGTTGGCCAATTCTCAGCTTTAAATATCTTTCTTGCAATTTCATTTATCTCATCCATTTTCTTATGTTTGTTATTCAAAGGTGAAGTTACATTCTGAATGTGAAAAGATCTGGGACTCCAGACTATGACTGATATGTTTTTATTTTACATCCCCATCCTTTTACCCCACGTGAGCCATATCACTGTCAAGATAGAAGCTCAAGGACCTGGCAATAGAGGAAGCCTTCACCGCAAAGCGAAGAAGCTTCCGAGTCTTATTGTTGTTGTTCATTGCAAACTGCTGGAAGATTGGTGGCATCGCCGTCAGTGTACTTTATAACTCACTGGGCTATTTGCTGGCCAGTCAATGATTTTGAAACAAATCTGTGCCTTTTGAGTGTCATCCCCCTTCATTTGCATAAGATTCTTACCAGGTCCTTTGGTTTCCATCCACGTGCATTCAGGAACTTTGATATTCAGTGGAGTTTTCCTGGATAAATAACGGATGTGAATTAATCTCACTACAGGGGTGAAAGGCGATGGACAAAAAAGGACATTGACAATGAACAACCAATCGCAATGTCCAGTGGTTGCAGAGTATTAATCCTCGAATCCCTTTTGATTTCAGACAAACTGCCAGCGATTCCACTGGGAAAGGAATTGGCTATCCGTGGTCCGAGGAGCAAAAAGATCTCCAACAAACAGACACCAGCAAGCGTAATCTAAACAGCACACCTTCATCAATGCTATCGGAAACGTCCTCACCAAAAGAAGATGTCAAGAAAAGTTCTGACAAACCACCTACTTCAAACAAAACACCTTCCTCTTACAAGCAGACGACGATGTTAGATTTTTGTACCAATGAAGGGAAGGCAAAAGAAGATAAAAAAATCAATGCGAAGAGCCAGGTACAGGTTGAAGCCAAGCCTGGATCATGCAATCCTGGGGGCATTAGTGGAATGATGGACAAAACACCAGTTAAAATGCTGAGGTCAGAGGGGTTGGACTCCGAGAACACGACCAGCCCGGTCGTCAAGGGACAGAAGGAACAACAAATGGAGGTGAACCAAGCGGGCAGCGACTGTGAAACGAAGAAACAACCAGTGCCAAATAATGAGGATAACGCCAACGGGCTCCAGAACAACGTCACCATAGATCCATGCCTTTCAGAGTCGAGAGAGAACTCCAACGACAATGTTTCACCAACAGAGATGGGGTACTACATGTTTTCAGAGGAACGTTTTGTTTTGGCAGTGAAAAAAGTGTGGCATTTGTACATCTCTGTGGAAAGTGCAAATCTGCAATTAATTGATTGTCTGTGCCAATGATATATTGTACTTTGACATACTTATTGCTGACCGTCTAACCAAGATAACGAGAGTGTACCTGTTTTTCTGTATGTGTGTGTGTGCGCGTGCATACATGCTCTAGAATTACTACTTTGAAGAAGCATTTAACAAACCCATTCTCAGTGCGTCCGAAGATGCCGGACCATGCAGGGACTCCCAATGCCAAATCACAGGTGGAGTTTGCGTGCTCAGCATAAGAGACGGTATCTGATTCATGCGGCCTTGATCTTGAGTTTTTATGCACTGGTTTTGCTCCTTCTGTGGGTCAGCTTTATTTTCCCACCCTCCACAGCGTTCTGTGTGTATTTGTCACCAAGCGTAATCACTCAAAACTCTTCTCTAATCTTACTACCGTTGAACTTGTATGCATGTGGAACTTCTTTCGCACCATACGTAGCCAACCGTGCTCATTGGAGGTGCGGGGGAAGGACAACAAGCTAAACACAAAAAGCAGTTCTTAAGAAATTAGTTTTTAATCTAGATTTAAAAGTGCAGAGCTCCAGTGGCTTCGTAATATCGGAGGAAATTTGCGTTCCAGATGGCTGCAGAAGTACATCTGAATATGCGCGATGCAGTGACTGTCTTTGTTTGATGGCTGGCCAAAAGCCACTGCGAGGATGTCCAGAGTTTGCATAGTGGTTTGTGCTCCTTGACGAGAAAAACAATAATTTATACCAGCAACATCGTGCTCGGAGTATTTTGGTGACTTTGTCCCTAGTATTTTAATGGCTCCAAGAAAGTCACATTACAAAAGAATCTGGCCACAATGCACATTTTAATTGTTTTTGTTACATTGGGAACACCTCAAACAATCTTCATAATACACAATAGATGATGCTGCAGCAAGTGTCACATCTGGTCACTAGTCATGGTAACGAACCCCTACACCCTCGAATATAAAATAAATTAGGCCTATACAACAATGTTGATTTGGATGGCCTCTGACTTTGTTGTTTCTTCCCTTGACATGTCATTATGAGCCCCTGCTGTTACCGATATCATACTAGAAGGAATGCCAACTTTTATCCATAATTTTTTAACTTTTGGGAAAATGAACATTCAAATGGGTTAACTTTAGCTGCCAAGTAGCAGGCTCTCTTAAAGAATGAGCATATCTGAGATGCGGCCATTGTTGATGATATGGCCGAGTGGTAACTCGTTTGCCGCTCATAGGGATTCGTAATTTGAGCCTTGCGGCTTTCCTGGTTAATACGACGGGTCTACTAACCAATAGTATACGCCATGTTTTTCACAGTGGATGTTAAAGATTCCGTGATGTTATTTGAAAGAAGAGGAGTCCTTGTATGCCAGCGTCATAGTATAAATTTTCTAAATGTAAAAAATTACCCACAAATTACTCAAATGGGAAAGCAAATCGCAATATTGCCTCGTTTTGCGAAGCTAATGCAGACCTTGTCTGTAAAACAACCACTTCGTGATAGCCTTAGGCTATAAGAATGGTGTGAATGTTAATGATTAGATTTGATTTGATTGTCGGTCTGTCATCTTTTTCCAAATGCAAATTTACACTGCACAAAAGTAAATGTGTCATCAAGCAGGCAAAACTTTAACCTGTAAACCGCAAATGCTAGAAATTGATGCCCTGTCCAATGTGGCTGTCGTCCGTTCTAGTCGTTTGCCAAAACTGTTACAAACAATTCTGTAATCCTTACTTTTCATGAGTAACAAATACATTTTGGCCATACTTCCTTGGCTGTTGTTTTATAGGAAATTATACCCTTGATTGCATGCCCTATCACACAGACAAAGATCCCCTTTTGCCTTTTAACATAGTGTTGTGGTAAATGCTGTTCGCGAGCAACTATTAAGGCCGGCGAAGCACTCCTGCTGAACAGATACGCAATCACATGCAAAGATTCTCTCTCGCACACACGTGCACATGAAAACTGGGTGCCTTATGAGTGCAAATTATTTTGTATTGATGCATAGAGTAATAATGGTCGTATTCGTGTCTCCAAAGGCGTGTCCACAGCCCATCAATACCTGATCTGCTAAAGCACTATACAGTATCTCTTGCCCTCCTGCTCACAAACTGTTGCGTTATGACACTACTGCCTAAGTACACACAAGGTCCTTGACCACCCTGACTTTCTTTCTTACTGTGCCTTGCGATCCAACTACAGGAGTCCCATTTGTAACTTCTGCCCAATACTTTGTAGTAGAAATGTTATTTTAAGACCCAGTGTTCAGCCTCATTGCCGAAGACTACCAACAGTTGAATGTCCTGGCCAACAAACCTGCATCATTTGCATACTCCAAGGCCCACACATTCATCTGACCTGCTTTATTCTCTGTGATTTCTACTGTGCAAACCCCATTAATGGTGGTATTGAATACATAGTCAAGCAGAACATTAAACAACACTGGAGACAAAGTACATACTTCGTGGACACCTGTCCTAATATTTGCAGCGCTTCTTTAACATGTTGAATTTCACTTCTCAGACTGTCACCCTCTTGACACTTTCGTAGGGCAGATCTGCTCTTATCAAGACGCTCATTCATGGAGCTAAGAAAGTGTCAGATGGTGCATGCCTACAAAGGGCTATTTTAATAAACACAATAGACAGGAAGGACAAGTTCAAAGGGCTCGCATAATGCACATGCATAATGTACGTTGCCTCAGTACCCCCCCCCCCCCACGTGGCGCAAGAGCGCAAAAGGGTGGTCAACACATCTACGCCTTCTCTATATAAGGAACGAAACAGTTAGACTTCACAAATCTTGCTGTCGCCTGATGAAGCTGGTTGTAATTACTGGTGAAACGTAATACTCAGTTTGTAAATGTTGTGGCTTGGCTCTCCAACACACCGGTGTGCTCTACTAGTGACGAATTGGCCACGTCCTGTTTTACGTGACAACCCTTACTAGTTGGTTGTGTTGTGTGGTGGCGGGTTTTAACGACACATTTATATATTTACGCGATCTAACCCAAAAACCTCTTATGGATGATATTGGTCGCGAAAGCCTACGTGTTAAACAAATCAACCATTTAGGAATACGTTTTACCCTTTTAACTGGCACAAAACTGACACCTTTATTCAAGGCATCATGTTTGCAATAACCACAACACAAGCAGTCAAAATGCAAACAAAAAAGACAACTCTGATAATAATATGCACTGTCCTTGAATTTGATTGGTCCACACCCGAGACAGCTTTTATTAGAGCCTAAAAGCTGTCTCGGGTGTGGACCAATCAAATTCAAGGATAGTGCATATTATTATCAGAGTTGTCTTTTTTGTGTGCATTTTGACTGCTTGTGTTGTGGTTATTGCAAACATGATGCCTTGAATAAAGGTGTCAGTTTTTGTGCCAGTTAAAAGGGTAAAACCTATTCCTATATCTTGTTTCTGGCAAAGGAGGTCTCATAAAATCAACCATTCTGATGTAAAGTCACGTAGGTAGAAAAAATAATAATGATCACGACGTTTCGATCACCACACAAGCAATCGTCTTCTCCCACCTTTATAATTGTTATTTTTTTTTACTTAATTCTGATAATACCAGCTCTTAAGAATTACATTTTCGGTGTGACTGATATGCATGAGCAGGTACAGAGGAAGGATGCAAACAGCGACGGTTGCAGCCCTGCGTCGAGTGAGACCAAGGGTTGTGACCGAGGCCAGTCGGGGGCCGACACCAGTGGCCCCACACAGGGGACAGACACAGGAGGTTACCGTTCGGACAAGTTGAACCCAGCGGAGCAGGCGAGCACCTCGAATGTCAAGGGAGGGATGGGTTCACCATCGAGCACCAGCTATGGAACGGGGCAGAAATCCTCTGAGGCAGAAGCTGCGAAATGGGGGAATGTTTTTGACCAAGACTCCATGGATCAATCACCACCCAAGAAGCACAGGTACTAAATGTTTCTGTGCCGACGTGCATTCTGTTTGTTGGTGAGCAAAATGCAACGTTTGTGCCTCTGTGCGGAAAGTGTGGTGATGCTGCAATTAATTCAATTTGTGTGTGTCGACTATACGGATACTAAGTTATCGCTTCATTGATTAACATCGGTTCTTGAACTTGAGATACACTTTCAAACTGCTTGGAAGACCTTTTATGATTTGTTCAATCTGTATGTGAATCTACGCACTGTTACCATTCGGTGAATCAATGAAACGAACGAGTCACTGCAAGTTGTAAGGAGCATGCCAGCCAGACAATATGAACAGTGCAGGAAATACAATTGAGACAACCCTTACAAATGAGATGGTCTAAACGAGACAGACAAAAGGGACAACTAACAAATGGATTGTTTATTTGTATTATGATCCCCAGATTGTGACGATTTATCAAATTGTGAGGGAATAGTGACCAGTGGGCTCACCAGCTATTTTTTTTATGGGCTCGTATTTTTACACGTTTTTGTAGCAAAGTTTTCTGCAGGGAACGGTGCATAAAAATGAATTGTATTGCTTAGCTAATCCACTCCCTGCCTTCACCAACTCGCACTGACCAGCCTGGTGAAGTATGGTCATATAACCCCTGTGAACCGTAAGGTGTATTGAAGCCCTGATGTAGCAGCGGATTGACAAAAAGGCCGTATTATGACAGATCCTCCATATAGTCGTAAGACTTTTGGGACAAGTGCGGTTAGCCATCAGCTAAATTTTGATTTAAAGCTTTCGTGACTGCAGGGATTCATATTCTTGGTTCTTTCGGTAAAGTCACGTAGAAGGGAAACAATAAAATAATAAAAAATATATAAAACAATAAAATTCTCACGACGTTTAAACTGCAACACAATCATCATCAGGTGTATGATTTGCCATCAGCTATTAGTATATATTATATACACTTAACAACACTCATAGGCACACAGTGTTGTTGATATAATATGCAATTCTGTGAGTTTCGTTGCTGGTCGAGGGTCAACTCGCTATGAAATGAGTCGCTGGCATGGTGGTAGTCAGCAACATCAACGAATGTGCATGTGTAAGCGATCGGGGAAACCGGTGGTGCTTTAGGCGAAACGGGGGTTTTTGTCTCTGCGGTGACTCGCGATTAGTGCACCGCACCGTGCGTCGATGCTATCGTCTTTGGTATGCGAGCCTGCACTGGGCTTCTCCAAGGTAAACTTTGCTATGTGAGCCTGCACTGGGTTTCTTTAAGGTAAACTTTGCATTAAAATAAACTGAACTGCCTCGTGTAGCTTGGTCAACTTTAGCACTGAGCAAATAAAGGTGGCCCTGACATGCATGGTGCTGGCCCAACCACCTTGTTCAGTAACCATACTTTAAATCTTGGCTTAAAGCTTTTGCGACTGCAGGAATTCATATTCTTTGGGTCTTTCGGTAAAGTCACATAGATTCAAAGAAAATAACAAAAAACTACGCCGTTTCGATCGAACATGTACCGTGTTTGTGAGCATAAGGCAGATCTGAAACACGGTAGGACCAGTACCTCGGCCGTTGGTGATCAGTGTTTTATTGCGGTTGGCTCACGCAAAATTGAGTTCTCTAAGACGAAGGTACTTTGCAAACCCAATGGCTATCAACAAATATTAGTTAATGAAGCTTCCATATATACAGACATAGACACAATTTCAACCGAGAAGATGGGTACAAACTTAGCAATCACTGGAAGGACGTTATCAACCAGTTTAAGTCATAACTGGCTATAATGTTTCCATTTTTAGCACTGTCCGTTGCTCACTGGTTTTTAACTTCTCACATTAACACAACCTTCACCGCCCTACATGCTGGGACACACCGTTTTTTCACCTCCCTACATGCTGGGACACACCGTTTTTTTACCCCTCACATTAACATAAGCTCCTCCGCCCATACTGCTGACACTTGGGCTACGCCCATTTTAAACCTTTATAAACAGTTTGCCTTTAGAGGCTAAACTCTTCTTTTCTCTATGCTGATGACGATTGCTTGTGTTGCGATTGAAGCGTAGTTTTTTGTTATTTTCTTTTAAACCTATCTACGTGCCCGAAACGTCGTGATTTTTTTACTTTTATTATTTTTTACCTACGTGACTTTACCAAAAGAACCAAAGAGTATGTATCCTTGCAGTCACGAAAACTTCAAATCTAGAACTATCTACGTAACTTTACCGAAAGACCCAAAGAATATAACCATACTTAGGCTACTAAAATTTTCCATATGATACGCCAATTCGTTGAGCTATCATTTGTTGAAAAAGAGCTATACAGCTCAGTGGGCCTTACCTTGTAAAATAAAAAATAGTGTTTAGTTTGAGCATGCTTAACTGGTGCTTGTAACCACTGATTCTGGTTAGAGTGCACAGCTCGCCATTTAAAGGTTGGAAATTGAAATCACTTGTGTGGACAATACGGCTTCTCATCCATTTTGTGTTAATGGAGTGAGTAGTGCTTTGTAGGGAGGTAATGGTCTTGATTGTCCTCCAATTGAAAGCTGGCCACTGCCAAGGGAATGTGGATTTTCCATCACAGTTTCAATCCTGCCAATGAATATGAGCACCATCAATTGAGTGGCAATACGCCGTGACTTGGAAACAATGATTGCTGACACGGTGACCTGGGTAATGAGAGTCGATCTGTTTTTGTGTGCATGTTATGCGTGCGCATCCAATTCTCTAACTAAATTTAGCGTGACTTCGCCTACGAACTCCAGTGGTGGAAACAGCTCGCACTTCAACAACAATCTGGCTCCAGGTGCGAGCATCAGAGCACATGGGATATACCTGCCCAAGCTCCAACCAAGTCACACCCACAAAGTCACAGTCATGGTGAGTTCCTTTAATTTCATTCTTGGAGACCTGTATAATTAGAACACATTTGCGTATGTATGTTGAACTTCTTTCGCACCGTACGTCGCCAACCGTGCTAATCGGAGGTTCCGGGGAAGGACAACAAAGAGATGGTGGAGTTGCCGAGTGCTAATACCATGTCGGTACACCAAGGCAATGCTGAGAATCGGCATTCAAGTCTACATGGGCATGCATTGTTATACTAGGTTTCCTCATAAGTAGTTCATAGTCGTGACCCAAGGATTTCTTACATTACTTTATTTACTGCTTTTTGACTTGATTCTGCTAACACTAACTGAAGGAATTAAAGATTTTTGGTTTGACTTGCAAAGAACATTGCTTGCCGGGTATAGAAAGGTAAGATGAATAAGGCCTGTTTAAGGGACTTTAGAGGCCCGTGACAAAAGGGTGGTTCAGCTAATTACAGTGAGCGTTCCCAATTTGAATGTCGTCTTGTTGACATAATTGCATTATTAGAGAAAAGGCAAAGCATATGTGTAAAGTGCACTGTTGTAGACGGGGAGGCCAAATGGCACAAGAGGCGCCGCTCAAACTTTGTGTGGTGCTCAAATTCAATTGGTGGCTCCGAGTCAGCGGTGCATATTCAATATTGCAACAGCAGGGGGCATTCTCTCCATAGGACGACTGTTGTGTACGGTTTGGTAGTGATTTTGTATGTATGTTGAACTTATTTCACACCGACTGCACTATTATCCCAGCAAACTATGTTCAGTTTTCCAGCCATGCACAACAAGTGCCAAGTGCCACATAACCCAATTCTTGGTTTCCCGTAAGTTTGACGAGTAGCTCGTATTGTGTGTGAACATCAGCATTGGTGAGATAAAGGCGGCTTTGCATGGTGCTGGCCTCCCCACCTGATTGTGGGTCTTGCTTGACTTAGGATTTACTTCCTAATCGCACTTACCCCAACATTCTATGTAGGCTGTGTCGGTAATCTTTGTTTTTTTTTGTGCACGCATGTGCCTCGTGTACATGTGTATACATAACAGTTTTAATCCTGCAATGGAGACACTTCCCAGCTCTCTTGCAACTTCAGGAAAACCCTCTCAATGTTGATTAGTCGCTACCTTCTTAAAATAAGTCGTTAAAACGCACATCAAACTGCCTTGCTAAGTTCCACGGTGGCAAGTCAATAGAGTGTTGGGGGTGGTGGTGGTCACGGACTGGCATGGGACTGCTTGACCCTTCGATTGCACACAGGCAGTGCGATGTAACGCTTGTTTACTCAGGAAAGTGTCACGAAGTCTCGTGACTATTTTCAGGAAGCACAATTAGAAAACATTTGACACATTCATCAATAACGCTGCTTTAAAAGAAAAAGCATAGCAATGGCCCTTCATTGCATGTAGATAGGCCGGAGTGAGAGAGAGTTAAAAAGGGTTGGAGACTAAATTTGGTGATGCTATGTTTAAAAAAAAAAACTGGTCATCGTTTTCAATGTGTAATTCTCATCAGCCCCATGGTGCTGTGCAATTTTTGACACTAGGGGTGATACTGGTGTGTGCTGCTGCGTGGTCATACTGCAAGATTCACAATAGTTTTTATATTTGGTTTGGGCATCACCTGAGAACTGTCTCGTAGGTGCTGAGAAACAGTTGAGCCATAGTTTTTGGCGCACTGCTTGACCATTGAGACAAATTCATGATGCGCGCACCGCTTCTTAATGGCCTAGATGGGTGACCATGCAACCTCTGCTGCCTGTCCCTGTTAGGCTAAAACATACAGCCCCCTTGTACTTGCACCTCCTATTTTCTGGCACCCCTTGCTCTCATATTTTGTTGAGGAATTTCAAATACCTCATTTGTTGTGCAATATTCCACGTTCTCTGCAATATCGATGGATTTTGTTTTTGTTGCTGCTGTGCTCACGCACTCATGGATCTCCCTTTGAAAAATTGCCAGCAAACTGGCTAAATGGGACCATTCGTGTAACAAATTAAATAAACTCAAACGTTTCCAGCCTCTGTGACCTCGGTGTTTCACAAAGGAAGTTCTGCTTGCTTCATTTCAGGATCGCAATTGTAAACCCACCTTTCTTCTCTGGATCTGATATTGGGAAAACCGAATTTGGATCATGCTTGTTTACGTGCATTGAGATCCTGGCACGCGTGCTCCTGGCCTGACGCTGGGTTTATGCGACTGTCGGAGGTCGTTGTTGTGGTCACACTGTTCTGGCTACTGAGGTGCCGTCGGAGCGAGGCCACGCAATCTCCACCCACGCCCTACGGCTGCAATCTGCAGCAACAGTTCAGTTTCACTGCTATGGACATTCCCACATGAAACCCACCCTCGGAATGTTTAGTCTCGCCTCATCTGTTTTTTTGAGTTCATGAATTACGGAGAGTGGCAGTGCGGTGGTTAGCGCACTGCATTACAAATCCGGCAACACGAGTTCTATTCCTGCTCATGACCAATAACAGTGGAGAATGTGATCTTCCGCTCCCGATCACTGACCCTGCACTTGTAGGGAAGAGAACCCGGTGAACTCTAACCGGCCCCTACTAGGTGGAGAATTGCCCAGAGGTTGTGGCTTCCATCCACATGTTTCCTGCACGCGAATTTTGTGTTGTGGGTTCAATAAAAACAACAAAAAGCACTGAAGAACATGGGAAACCGGTCCTGGACTTCACGTAGGTCTACTCGACCTTAAATTGGTACCTGGTGCGCTGTGTGAGCACCATTACTGGGGAGACGGAGGCAGCTGGGGCGAGTGCTGGCCACCCACCCTCTTGTGCAGCGTGCCGACCTTTCATAGGTGCTCGTCAGCAGGACTTGCCCAACAATATTTTAAAGGCTATATGGGGAACTTTTTTTTGCATGTACATATGTATGTATGTTGTCTGTGTGCTGCAGCTTGACCAGCTGAAAGATGGAGAGAAACCTCGTCCTTTCCCACTTCACTTTAAGGGCAAGTGGGATGGTGATCACGTGCGGATGCCCTTCTCTGACCAGTCGGTGCACCAGGCACAGAACATGGTGGGTCTCCGCACAACAACAACAACCGCCATTCGCCACTAAGTGGCGGTGATGTCACCACAGCACTTGTGCCAGTTTAGTTGCACCTTGAGGCCACGTGAAGTACGTCAAAAGCTCGTTGGCAGGAGGTCATTGGAAAGACACAGGTGCCATGGGTTGACTGAGATGACTGGCAGATGCACCACCTGTGCGCCCAACTGTACCGAATTGCTCTGTTTTAGCTGCCGGCTGCTCCGCTTGTGAGCGTCACTCCTCTGCCCTCAACTGGCCAGTAGAATCCTTATTCACCCTCACTGTTACACTCAATCATCATACTTTGTAATTTCATTGAGTCCACAATACTCATCGCATCATTGTCGGCTTGTGTTGTCGGCTTTACTGTTTTGTTACGTCGTCAGCTTTCCATTTTTTATTTGATCGTTTTTACCATCATTATCCACTTCACCTTCATTATAATCACTGTTACAGTATTTTCACGTGATTCATCGTCTGCATTATAGGAACATTACCATTACTCATCATTGTCACATTCTTCATTGCATCATTACATCGTCAACGTCACATTCAATGTAAAATCATTATCAAATTCACCTTCATTCTTCCTGATGCCAATATATTCCCATTCATTCTGTCACCATCAGCGCAGGTGTTGCGTGCCACCAAGCCCTTCAACCTTGTTTCCGCCTTCTGTGAAACCACAGCGTCTCCCTAACTCTCGACCAATGCGATCACTCATTTCTGTTTGCGGCCCAGTGCCACTCATGTAAATTCCACATTCTTATGACGAGGACTAGTCTTTCCATAGGGCAACCACTGTTGACCATCGCCCGGGTTGTTATGAGAAGCCTATCATGCGGCCTTGTCCGAGGCCTCTTACGCGATATTGTAGTGAAGTAGTGATTTAGTCTAGTGGTTAGAAACGCTTACCAAGATGTTCAGTGTTTGAAAAAGGGGGTCTGCCTGTTTTCAAGATGCCAGCCTCCACATTTGTCTCCTTGTGATTACAGAAAGATTCTTTCCTTCGGTGGGAAGAGATTGAAAGATCGCTCCTCAGGGACTTCAAAAGCTCCCACGACATCGAGGTAAGATGCGTTCACAAGGCAACATCTCAAGAGTCGCCAGTTAGCTTTACCAGGTGTTGTGTGTTATTATTGTAATTTTTTATGTTTTTATAAGGTGCAGCAAACCCAACAAAGGGCTTCAGAGTGCTGTAAATATGTTGGGTGTTAATTACTTGGAAATATAAATACAATTTAACCATTATATAATATTCCATTAATTGCAGAATGCCAAACATTGCCCATTGCCGCCAAGGATCTCCCGCCGCACTCAACGGTGCCGCGGTGGCGAGATGTTAACTACCTCGCCTGGTATGCAGAAAGTTGTGGGTTTAATCCCGACCCTGATACCTGTATATTTGGAGTTTGTATGTTCTCTCCCCTTGGTCGTGCAGATTTTTCTCCGGGTCCTCCTGGTTTTCCCCTCCACATTTAGAATCAACGCGAGTTCAGAGTATTTGGCTGCTTGAAATTTCCACATGATAAGCCACTTCCTTGGACTATCCTATCTGGCCAGGACGCTTCTGAAAAAGCTATATAGCTCAGTGGGCCTTGCCCAATAAAATACTAAGTTTAGTTTCTTAGTTTAGTTCATGAATCTGGCTTGCAGTGGTGTTCCTGCATTGTGGATGCTTTGCGAAGCAACTGCAGCTGCTGTGCACATAGCACAGTACTGCCATGCGTGTGTAGAAACATCAAACTAAAACATTCTACGATTCTGCGTTGGCAGTGGTGGACAAGCACAACTCGCACCTTTGTTCAAAACAGTGGGCCTTAAAATGTATGATATATGACGACGTTTCAGGCAATAGACCTTCAGAGCATGCGAAACCATTGGCCAAAACGTCACAACGGTATTTTTTTGGAAGGCCACAGCCATATTGACAAACGTGTTGAGTTTTTTTGTGGTCTGTGTGGTGCCTCGAATTGGCCCTAAATGAGTACCTGGTGTGGTGTGTAAACATCGCCAGTCGGGATACAAAGGCGGCCCTGCGTGGTGCTGGCCACCCACCCCCTCATGTGCTGTCCCGGCCTTCATAGGTGCTGGCTAGCAGCACTTGCCCCAAATGTCCGTTCAGGTTATATGGGAGATATTCTTTGGGGCTTTCGGTAAAGTCACGTCGATGGAACATCCTGATGACGATTGCTTGTGTTGCGATCAAAACATGATATTTTTAGTATTTTTTATTCACTTTATTTTTATTATTTTATTGTTCTATCTCCGTGACTTTACCGAAAGACCCAAAGAATATGAATTCCTGCAGTCATGAAAGCTTTAAGTCAATATTTATATGGGGGATGTTTGTTTTGGTGCCTCCCTGTACTCTGGAACATTGACTGAACTTGCTTAGAGAGGCCACCAGGTGGAGGCATTGCTCCATGTGGAAGCCACGTGCTCCAGTTACACTTGGACGAAAGGTGTTCGCCCAAGTCAGCACGAGGAATCTCGTGCTGGGCGCCTTCTGCGTTACTTTATGCAGTGAAGAATGAAAAGTGAACCACCTGGGTGGGAATGTGGTAGAGCGCTCATCTCGCCATTAGAAGACCTCAAGTTCAAATTCTTATCAGTTTATTTCGGCCCCGGATTTTTTCGGGGACTATAAAATGCGTGCCAAATTATGTGAAGTTAACAGTGATCATCCAGTGAAGATACTTGCCCTACCATTGAGATGTACAATTTCCATCTCTTGCCCAGAGCTGTCGATGAACATGGAGACACTGATATAAAATGTTATTTCGATCGTACAGTGTTTAGAAATGTCGTGCCTCGAGGCTGTGCCAAGCTTAATTGAAGTGACAAACCACACATTTCACAAGTGTTTTTGTGCATTCATATGTGACTGGGCTGAGACCGTTGATTCACTGCTCTTGAGTACCTGATTTAATTGAACTCAATATATCAGTGCTGCTGGCTCATTGCTCTAACATGGTCATTATGAGCCACTTGATCCACCCGCCCACCTTCAAATAGTTTTTTCCTGAAGGCTATGATTTTTTCATCGTGAACTTGAGTTGAGGGACATTGATGATGGAGTGCTGGTCTAGTTGAGGGACATTGATGAGGGAGTATTGGTCGAGTTGAGGGACATTGATGAGGGAGTGCAGGTCGAGTTGATGGAAATTGATGACGGAGTGCTGGTCGAGTTGAGGGACATTGATGAGGGAGTGTTGGTCGAGTTGATGGACATTGATGTTGGAGTGCTGGTCGAGTTGAGGGACATTGATGACGGAGTGCAGGTTGAGTTGAGGGACATTGATGACGGAGTGTTGGTCGAGTTGAGGGACATTGATGAGGGAGTGCTGGTCGAGTTGAGGGACATTGATGACGGAGTGTTGGTCGAGTTGAGGGACATTGATGACGGAGTGCAGGTTGAGTTGAGGGACATTGATGACGGAGTGTTGGTCGAGTTGAGGGACATTGATGAGGGAGTGCTGGTCGAGTTGATGGACATTGATGTTGGAGTGCTGGTCGAGTTGAGGGACATTGATGACGGAGTGCAGGTTGAGTTGAGGGACATTGATGACGGAGTGTTGGTCGAGTTGAGGGACATTGATGAGGGAGTGCTGGTCGAGTTGAGGGACATTGATGAGGGAGTGCTGGTTGAGTTGAGGGACATTGATGAAGGAGTGCAGGTCGAGTTGAGGGACATTGATGACGGAGTGCTGGTCGAGTTGAGGGACATTGATGAGGGAGTGCTGGTCGAGTTGAGGGACATTGATGACGGAGTGTTGGTCGAGTTGAGGGACATTGATGACGGAGTGCAGGTTGAGTTGAGGGACATTGATGACGGAGTGTTGGTCGAGTTGAGGGACATTGATGAGGGAGTGCTGGTCGAGTTGATGGACATTGATGTTGGAGTGCTGGTCGAGTTGAGGGACATTGATGACGGAGTGCAGGTTGAGTTGAGGGACATTGATGACGGAGTGTTGGTCGAGTTGAGGGACATTGATGAGGGAGTGCTGGTCGAGTTGAGGGACATTGATGAGGGAGTGCTGGTTGAGTTGAGGGACATTGATGAAGGAGTGCAGGTCGAGTTGAGGGACATTGATGACGGAGTGCTGGTCGAGTTGAGGGACATTGATGAGGGAGTGCTGGTCGAGTTGAGGGACATTGATGACGGAGTGCAGGTCGAGTTGAGGGACATTGATGATGGAGTGCAGGTCGAGTTGATGGAAATTGATGACGGAGTGCTGGTCGAGTTGAGGGACATTGATGAGGGAGTGTTGGTCGAGTTGATGGACATTGATGTTGGAGTGCTGGTCGAGTTGAGGGACATTGATGACGGAGTGCAGGTTGAGTTGAGGGACATTGATGACGGAGTGTTGGTCGAGTTGAGGGACATTGATGAGGGAGTGCTGGTCGAGTTGAGGGACATTGATGACGGAGTGTTGGTCGAGTTGAGGGACATTGATGACGGAGTGCAGGTTGAGTTGAGGGACATTGATGACGGAGTGTTGGTCGAGTTGAGGGACATTGATGAGGGAGTGCTGGTCGAGTTGATGGACATTGATGTTGGAGTGCTGGTCGAGTTGAGGGACATTGATGACGGAGTGTTGGTCGAGTTGAGGGACATTGATGAGGGAGTGCTGGTCGAGTTGAGGGACATTGATGAGGGAGTGCTGGTCGAGTTGATGGACATTGATGACGGAGTGCAGGTTGAGTTGAGGGACATTGATGACGGAGTGTTGGTCGAGTTGAGGGACATTGATGAGGGAGTGCTGGTCGAGTTGAGGGACATTGATGAGGGAGTGCTGGTTGAGTTGAGGGACATTGATGAAGGAGTGCAGGTCGAGTTGAGGGACATTGATGACGGAGTGCTGGTCGAGTTGAGGGACATTGATGAGGGAGTGCTGGTCGAGTTGAGGGACATTGATGACGGAGTGTTGGTCGAGTTGAGAGACATTGATGACGGAGTGCAGGTTGAGTTGAGGGACATTGATGACGGAGTGTTGGTCGAGTTGAGGGACATTGATGAGGGAGTGCTGGTCGAGTTGAGGGACATTGATGACGGAGTGTTGGTCGAGTTGAGGGACATTGATGACGGAGTGCAGGTTGAGTTGAGGGACATTGATGACGGAGTGTTGGTCGAGTTGAGGGACATTGATGAGGGAGTGCTGGTCGAGTTGATGGACATTGATGTTGGAGTGCTGGTCGAGTTGAGGGACATTGATGACGGAGTGCAGGTTGAGTTGAGGGACATTGATGACGGAGTGTTGGTCGAGTTGAGGGACATTGATGAGGGAGTGCTGGTCGAGTTGAGGGACATTGATGAGGGAGTTCTGGTTGAGTTGAGGGACATTGATGAAGGAGTGCAGGTCGAGTTGAGGGACATTGATGACGGAGTGCTGGTCGAGTTGAGGGACATTGATGAGGGAGTGCTGGTCGAGTTGAGGGACATTGATGACGGAGTGTTGGTCGAGTTGAGGGACATTGATGACGGAGTGCAGGTTGAGTTGAGGGACATTGATGACGGAGTGTTGGTCGAGTTGAGGGACATTGATGAGGGAGTGCTGGTCGAGTTGATGGACATTGATGTTGGAGTGCTGGTCGAGTTGAGGGACATTGATGACGGAGTGCAGGTTGAGTTGAGGGACATTGATGACGGAGTGTTGGTCGAGTTGAGGGACATTGATGAGGGAGTGCTGGTCGAGTTGAGGGACATTGATGAGGGAGTGCTGGTTGAGTTGAGGGACATTGATGAAGGAGTGCAGGTCGAGTTGAGGGACATTGATGACGGAGTGCTGGTCGAGTTGAGGGACATTGATGAGGGAGTGCTGGTCGAGTTGAGGGACATTGATGACGGAGTGCAGGTCGAGTTGAGGGACATTGATGATGGAGTGCAGGTCGAGTTGATGGAAATTGATGACGGAGTGCTGGTCGAGTTGAGGGACATTGATGAGGGAGTGTTGGTCGAGTTGATGGACATTGATGTTGGAGTGCTGGTCGAGTTGAGGGACATTGATGACGGAGTGCAGGTTGAGTTGAGGGACATTGATGACGGAGTGTTGGTCGAGTTGAGGGA